TACAATGGAACTAAAAGACTGATTACGTACAACTATTAGAACTAGATACAGTGAAACTAGAAGACTGATTACGTACAACTATTAGAACTAGATACAGTGAAACTAGAAGACTGATTACGTACAACTATTAGAACTAGATACAGTAGAATTAAAAGACTGATTACGTACAACTATTAGAACTAGAAGACTGATTACTTACAACTATTAGAACTAGATACAGTGAAACTAGAAGACTGATCAGATATAACTATTAGAACAAGATACAGTGAAACTAGAAGACTGATCAGGTATAACTATTAGAACAAGATATAGTGGTACTAGAAGACTGATCACGTATAACTATTACAACTGGATATAGTAGTACTAGAAGACTGATCAGGTACAACTATTAAAACTAGATATAGTGGTACTAGAACTAGACTGATCAGGTACAACTATTAGAACTAGATATAGTGGTACTAGAAGATTGATCACGTACAACTATTATAACTGGATATAGTGGTACTAGAAGACTGATCAGGTACAACTATTAGAACTAGATATAGTGGTACTAGAACTAGACTGATCAGGTACAACTTTTAAAACTAGATATAGTGGTACTAGAACTAGACTGATCAGGTACAACTATTAGAACTAGATATAGTGGTACTAGAACTAGACTGATCAGGTTCAGCTATTAAAACTAGATATAGTGGTATTAGAAGACTGATCAAATACAACTATTAAAACTAGATATAGTGGTACTAGAACTAGACTGATCAAGTACAACTATTAGAACTAGATATAGTGGTACTAGAACTAGACTGATCAGGTACAACTATTAAAACTAGATATAGTGGTACTACAAGACTGATCAGGTACAACTATTAGAACTAGATATAGTGGTACTAGAAGACTGATCACGTACAACTATTATAACTGGATATAGTGGTACTAGAAGACTGATCACGTATAACTATTACAACTGGATATAGTAGTACTAGAAGACTGATCAGGTACAACTATTAAAACTAGATATAGTGGTACTACAAGACTGATCACGTATAACTATTACAACTGGATATAGTAGTACTAGAAGACTGATCAGGTACAACTATTAGAACTAGATATAGTGGTACTAGAAGATTGATCACGTACAACTATTATAACTGGATATAGTGGTACTAGAAGACTGATCAGGTACAACTATTAGAACTAGATATAGTGGTACTACAAGACTGATCACGTACAACTATAAAAACTTAGTAATTGTCAAGGTCTATTGCAGGTATTAATTGGTCCCAACATTACATCTTTAGTTCTCCAAACACACACACACATATATCAGCATACTTACTTGAACAGTAAATGTAGCATAATGTTTCATATGAAACTAGTCTGTTTTTTACAAATGTAATTAAGTAAGCCCTATCTCTAGCTATAGTATAAGTAAGCCCTATCTCTAGCTATAGTATAAGTAAGCCCTATCTCTAGCTATAGTACATATACATGTCCTGTAGAGATTGAATCAAGATAAAGTAGGGGTACTGTTACTTGGTCAGTAATTGCATATCATGGTTACAGGATCAAAATTATTATTGTACATGTGGAGAAACATAAGCATTTCTATCTTGTATCCAGTGTTTCTCAGATTAAATCAAAGCCTTCTTTCATTATTTAAGAATGTTATATAAAACTCTCTCCTTCAGAATGACGAAGTATGTCAAACATGGAAAACTTGTTTTCAAAACTACATAACTTATCAAAAAATAAAACATATCTGAACTCGGCAGATCATAAATTCTTAACACTTTTTCAAAATTAAAAACACATCATTAAAAGTGTCTCAGAAAATAACAATCAGTTCATAAAGCAACAGTATTATTTTAGTTCATATTTCTCATGAACCTTCTACGTTACAATTTGTTCTTTTAAAATGGCACTTGAGGTTGATAATCTAATGTTAACACTAAGAAGCAGTTTGTACACCTTTATTATCAGTTAAACATGTCTTCACTGTAACTCTAGTATATACAATAAGTGTCACAGCATTTGTATGGTAGGTTACAACTGCACAGCAGTACTTTATATACCTATTCACAGTGTGTATATATATATGTCTAACAGCTTTTCTATTTTGGAACTTCTCATGGTTCCTTATATCAGTCTTGGAATTTATTTGGATTTTACTGGTTTCTGCACTAAAGAATTTAATTTTCAAAACCTATTTTTTAATGTCCAAACAGATTAATACAATTTTCATTTATACAGATGTGCATAGAAGTGTACATGCAAGTAGAGTGGAGAGTAGATTAATCCAACTAGTGATAACAAATCTTTATAGCACACTGACTTAAACATCTTAATTGTGAAAACATTTAAATTTATGACAGCTACTATGCAGAGCACTTAAGAGCTGAGCATTTAAAAATGTATCTATTAAACATAGGAGTCTCTGTAATGCAGAAGTAACCTGCTCCTCTTGGTACAAAGTTATCATTTATTTAAAACTATAGACAGTAAATACTGTGTAAAAAATTCCTATCAAACTAATATATGAGAATGTAACACCATAGAGACCTACTCCTTAGTACGAAGTTTAAGATTTAGTTGCGATCTTAAGTAGTAGATATTGTAGGACAGAAAAAACATACAATGTTAGAAAGCTAGCTATTGAGATTCATGAGTGAGAAAATACATAAAACTCAAGTCTGATCTTTGGAAAGAGAAAGGCTCTAAAATTCTGTCTTTGGTCTAAGTGAAAAGAAAACTACGTTATTATATCTCACCCATACAACAGACGTCTAAGTTCTTATTAACCATCAACACAAAGTGCAGTATTTAGGAGCCATCTTCACATCTGTAGTACCGTGAAGTTCACATTTAAGAGACAAGTTATCTTTAGATACTCTTTTAAAGCGACCAGATCTTTTCCAACCATTACACTTGACATGGATTGGCAAATTTTCTATCTGATGAAGGAGCATGAAGCCAATGTCTGAACTGAAGTTGAGTGGTATTTTACGACAAGTTTTTTGTTCCTCTACTACAGTCTTGCTTGGACATTCTTGAACTGCAAGTGGTAGAATCTTTGAGCAACTACCGGGCTCTGGATTTTTCTTAGTAAAAAATTCATCACATGGTAAAAAACCAGGATACTGGTCAGAACACAGGTTTAAGCTATCAGTGCTAGCTCTATAAATTAGTGTACTGTTAATGCAGGAAATCTGTGTACTTGAACTGGTGTCTGACTGATTTTTATGCTTATGGGATTTACTGCTGTTGGTTTTATTACCTGAATCTTCCCTTCCTCCCCCACTCATGTTTCCTTGTGGTACTCCAGGCCCTGTCTGTCCTGAGCCACCAATTCCACTACTTCCACCCTGTCCTCCTGTGCGATCCTCGCTACTGTCTCTTCTTCCAGAGCTTTTTAGCTTTTCAATTTTCCACTTCAAGCCTTCACTATCATCATCACTTGCCTCTGAGCTGCTGCAACTGGTAGTTCTTGATTTCCCCATTTTCTGTTGTTGGCCTAAAAGACGTAACATTGCATGTGATAGAGCAGAACGAGGACTGTGAAGATGTTTCCTTGGGTGCCTAGAGTTTAGAGTTTTTGTAGCTGGCTCATCCAATTCCACCTCTTCATCTATTTCATTCAAAAGCAACTGAGGAGAACTTTTAACAGAATGGAGTCGCCGCCCTGGTGATGGAAGGGTTTTAAACTTTTGAGTTGAAAATGACAAAGCAGAATACTGATTTTCTGGAGACATTTTTGGACTAAGTGTTGTAGCATTCACACTGCCACTAAATGGAAGAGAGAATAGAAAGTGCTGTAAGACAGGCTTCTTTTGGGAGGTGGTGAGAGACCCAGACTGATGAGATGCAGGAACAGATGACAGACTGACAGAAGAGCTACTGTTGTCTTCTTCTTCATGTACCAAGCTGCACTTGCGTGCTAATGGCAAATAGCAGTGACTATTCTCTGGAGGAACTACAAGAGAACCAAACTGTTTAGAATCCAATGACTTCATTGGCACATGAGGAGAAATTAAATTTTGTACCATGTGATCCGTGTTTTCCTGAGGTTGTAAGAAGTCAGTTGTAATTCTGTGGGAGAGAGAAAAGAAAACTGAAAATTAGTATTTTAAATTTACTGGTGCATGAATTTAACAACATTCAGACATAAGGGTTGTTACTATTCCAGCATAAGTAAATTTTTTTTTAAAGTTCTACACTAGGTGGCATATAATTCTTAAAGTTAGCTGTAATATGACCTCAATCACTCATATTATTACAGCCTCTACATTCGCTGTTTGATTAATACAGTTCTTTATATTGTAACTTTGTACATTAATACAGCAATACAGTCACCTTGTTGAGTCAGTAGTTTAATAGTCTAACCTTAACACAAATTATGTTAATGTGGAAATTGTATTATCAGTTTATATTGCATGAAGTACCCTGATCATGAATTATTTATAACAAACTAAGGCACTCATTCTTTGTCTGGGTTATGAACTTAAAGAAATGTGTGGGTGGATGCTTTGATAAAAACCCTAACTTTCACATAATTTATTTATAACATAACATATTATTACAGTATTCATTATTACTTTAACAAAAGTTTTGTATAAGGTTTAAGAACTAAGTATGCATATACTTAAAACATGGTATACACTGGTCGATAGTCAGGGTGACTTGGTATTAAGAGGTAACAGCCAAAGTAGTAGCGGTAGGTGTGCTTTCTGTTATCTGTTTTCAACACCCAGCTCTTAATGTCCTTCCATAGTGTTTCATATGATTAATTAATTTACGGTTACTGGCCACAGAAGTGTCTTACAATCCAAAGTTGAAAAGCTGTGGTTCAAACTGGGAAACGGCTCTTCATATCAGCCTAATGGCGGTTATTGGAGTCGAAACTTCAGCTGAGTTTCTATATTATTGCAATAGTAGTGGCCATTTTTTTCACTGCATTCCTCCATAGTGTTAGTACACTTTCTGAGATATATAAAACAGTTGTATGGCCTTCCCCACACTTTGTACATGTTGTAAAACAAAATTTCATAATTTTGTGTGTGTGTGTAAGGACGTGGCACCATTTGTGAATGTAGTTAATGTTAGCTTTTGTCAAAGATAATAAATGCTCAATAACAGCAATAATGGGTTATGGACGGGGTTGTTACATATAACAGTGCTACAGTGGCGTTCCCTAATGTGGTTTCCAGAAAACAATGGAATGCCTCCCATAATCCCTTGTGCATGTATGTATATTATTTTGTCCAAGCATTACATGATTCACTATACAGACTGTTTTAAATATCCACAAAGGCTTTATAACCATCCTTTACAGAGGGTTGGATATGGTATATAACACTGATTTTGGAGCCTCACCACATTGTTACAGTCCATGTTGCCACATTTGCCCATGCATTTTAATTATGCTCCTGCAACATAGTTCATACTGCAAAAGGCTCCATCATAAAAGTGACATGTCCAAAGTAAACCATTCTTCCTTGCAGGCTTTCCACAATCCATTTAATGTATGAAACTGACAGTTTCTTATAATCTAGTTAAATAGTCTAATTGTACAGAAACCCACAGATACTGTGTGCAGAAATTTGACTGATAAATCTTTGTATGGAATGGCATAAATATACATTTCATTTTCCAGCTGCTTAAGGTATGTAGTAGTTTAAGAGAAGGTATGACTGGAAGAACTATCTTGGTGAGCCCATACCCTGTCGGCCTTGTTTCCAGATAGAGATCCCTCTTGATTATGTTGCTACTGTCCTTCATGTTTGTGAATCCTTACCTGTTTCAAGATGCTGCACCTTGCTCACCATGACTTCTTGCAGGTCTCTTTCTAAATGGTTCTGGTGCTTCAAGTTGATACATAATATTCATTTACTTTCCAGTGATACTAAATACAAGATATATCCTTGTTTTGAAAACTCTAAATCTGTGATCTAAACACATCTTATCATCTGAGTGTAGGAATATTTTGCATCAGAAAGGGCTGTTACATAACTTTCCAAAAGTGATTAAATTTCAATGGCATCACACTACTTAATACATGTCAACATATAATTCTGATACATTCTATTTTACCAAGATTTGCATTGGTTGTGGTTGTCACATGACGTACTGATTTTTATAATAAAACTACCTTTAATATAACATATTCAACTTCTGTAAAAGCCAAAGAAAAAAAGAACATCTTCTAGTAATCTATAAAGAAGTTGATATACATACATACCATGTGTTTAAAAAGAAGTACTTACTCGGGTGTAATAGCAACAGGAGGAAAGTCTCCCCTACAACTTTTGCTTAAAATCTGAGCTTTTTTCTCTCGTTGAACTCGTAGTTTCCTCTCTGCTAACAAGAAGTATGTGGCAGTGATGTGGTTGTATTCATTCTTTTGTAGTGCCCTAGACAAAGTAAAATATTAAGAATAAGTAATTCATATACATCATCTGATTATTCGAAAGCCTATCTAGTTAACACAATTTTTAATTATAACTTGTGATTATGTTAAAGCCTCAAATTTTATAGAAACAGTACTGTAGTTACTAAAATATATCACACATAACTATAATTACTCTGAACATGTGACAGTTTATAGAAACAGTACTGTAGTTACTAAAATATATCACACATAACTATAATTACTCTGAACATCTGACATTTTATAGAAACATTTCTGCACCTATTAAATACTCCTTAAACTATCTAAACTCTTACTCTATGATATCCTCTTTTGTTGCTATACTTCCGTTTACCAACTTCTGAATGATATATGCATGATCCTCCTCAGAGAGACATTCGTGAGATATTAATGGTAAATAATCTGCTGGCTGGATGGCGTCTCCTGCATTTAACCATTTGTTTCCAGTTACCTCTTCTAGTGTGGCCCGCTTCTCTGGATCACGTATTAACATACTTCCTATCAGTCTATATGTAGCACAGAAAAATTAACATTAGATTTCTTTTGTAAGAAGTTGTTGTTGGGTGTAATAAAAAGTATCCATGTTCCCATCCACATGTAAAGAATTGAATTAATGACACAAGTTCAAGTTTCTTAGTTCTGATAACTTGAAAAAGAAAATACAAAGAATACTAAAATTAAGCACATAATCAAGGAATTAAGAAGTATATATATATATATATATATATACACTATTAAGGCTATCATTGTTCAATTAATGTCACTTTGAAAAATCAACTCCATATGAAATAACTTCAACATAATAAGATAGTCCTTGTGTATAGTAAAAATAAGTTTAAAGTAAAACCTAGTGCATACTGGTTGCAGGAAATTAAAATTACCTGAAGTAAATATGCAAGAACTATGAGGTTTTCAAAGTTACAGCACAATCAAATCTTAATATATATTTAATGATAATCTATGAGCTTGTCTTACCCATGTTATAAAAATTAATTTATAGAACTAATGTAAAACATCTAGAAATATTTACTTTTGTTATTATACTTTTCAAAAAGAAGCAGTTGGAAGGGTTAATCTGCATACAATAACCAACTCTTAAACCAAGCTTTATGAGTAAGAGACAATGAGTTAGAATTGGTGCTTTCATGCATTCACCATTTTATTTTGAACTAATTAATCCTAAATATAATTATATTTTTCAATAATATTTGATCATTAATAAGCTAATATTCCATCAGTCAAACACCATGCAATAACACAGTTTGAGTAAAAATCCCTGATAAAGTTCATATTTTTACTACCATAAGTGAACACTGCTCCGTGGCTCGAACGTCAAACAATTTCTCACCATTCTTAAATGTACTATTAAACTTGGTATCCAATCAACCTTCATTAGTAAACCTAAACTTACTTGCTACATTCTTTGGAAACATGGCTTGGAACAGTGTAATTACAATCCATTATCATTGTAAGTGTTTCACTGTCATTGGCTTCTTGAAAGGGTGCATGACCACAAACTAGCATGTACAGAATCACTCCCAAACTCCAAACATCTGGAAAGAAAAACAAATTACATTGTAATAACAGTAACAACTTTTTAAAATACACAAAAGTTTCAAACAGTATGGTATATAATTTTAAAAACTATGTCTTGCAGCAATAATAACAATATTAATGATCACTGAGGTAATTTTGTATTATACAACATATATATATATATATCTCATAATGATTCAGGATGTTAAGAAAACCTGTTCTGATAAGTGCTTTATCTCAAGGCCTTTGGATAACACTAGTGCTCAAAAGTCAGTGCTCTACCAACAGAGACCATGACTCAAGTACCAAGCATACAACTCCCATCTGGACTCTTGTATAAACCTATTTGCAAACAAACCTTAAGTAGCATTGTTTCAGTAAACTATAAAAACACACAGCACACCAGTTCAATTGATGATGTCAGCAAGTACACAGAGACAGCTGCTAGATTTACCATCTACTCGGGTCAGATGGCTATCAGAGGTGGGATAACCAGTAACTGTGAACCAGCATAGTAACTCATTTGTACTTCAAAATCTCCCTGACTACAGCTTGAGCCCAGAACCCTAGGTTAACATAGTGCTCAGAGACAGATACTGATGCTCTATCAACTGGCCAACATGTGCACAGCTTATGCATTTTAGTTGTTTTTTACAATCTTATCAAACTTTGAAAACAATGAAAGTCACACTGATACAAATAGAATAGTTTACTAAATAATGAAAAATATCTAAATGTGGTCCTACATGTATACTAGGATAGTCCTTATTTTTGAATGTGGTCCTACATGTATACCAGGATAGTCCTTATTTTTGAATGTGGTCCTACATGTATACTAGGATAGTCCTTATTTTTGAATTTGGTCCTACATATATATACCAGGATAGTCCTTATTTTTGAATTTGGTCCTACATATATACCAGGATAGTCCTTATTTTTGAATTTGGTCCTACATA